GAGAGAGAGAGAGAGAGAGAGAGAGAGAGAGAGAGAAAGAGAGCACAAGAAAAAACGAGAGAATACGCGTGTCCGTGTGCGCGCGAGAGCGAGGGAGAAAGGCAGCGAGAGGAAGAGAGAAAAGAACACGAGAGAGAAGGAGAAAGACAGAGAGATGAGCGAGGGTGAGATAGCGAAAGTGAGAGAAGCAAGAGAGACAGCGCGAGTGCGTGCGTGCGTGCGTGCGTGCGTGCGTGTGTGCGTGCGTGCGTGTGTGTGTGCGTGCGTGCGTGCGTGCGTGCGTGCGTGCGCGCGCGTGCGTGTGTGCATGCGTGTGAGAGAGAAGAGATGGTGCGGTATGAGTGAGTATAGCGGCGTAGATCCTCCGAGGCATAGATAATTGACGCTCTTGTTGATATATCGGTGTTACGTGACCAAAGCACGCGCAGCACCCGCGGCGGTCGTAGCAGCAGCACACATCCAGGTGCGCTACGTCATCGTCATCATCGGCGTCGGGTCGGATGCGGCGAAACACACACGCAGGCATGGCAGATATGTGCGCGGAATCACGTTCCCGCCCAGCAGGCAACGTAAGAAGCACCTAGGGGGCGCCGCGTGCGCAACGTCGGCACGTGTTCGTGCGAATAGTCGGCAGAAAGGAGGGGGGGGGAAAGGATGTCACGGCCGTACCTCCGATTTTTTTTCTATTTGCTGTTTTTTTTCATTAGTGATAGTTATCCTGTGATTAGTAAGTTACGTGATTAATCAATCAGTTACGGTTTTAAATTTCACAAGGATTTACACTGAATTAAACACTAAGGTTATGGAGCAATTAACCAGTGACACGCGACAGATAACAGTAATGGTTAATGAAATTGGCAGAGATTTTTCACAATTTCAAATACAAACACTTTCAATGTTACAGATTACAATAAGCAGTTTGGCATTGTTCTTTGCGCATGTACAGGACACATTCGATCAATTGGCGAATAATATTAATTCGTTATTAACTGGGAGATTACCAACAGCACTTATTTCTCCAAGACAGCTACAGATTTTGCTTGAGGAAATCAAAGGGAATCTTCCGGCATCACTTATGTTGCCAGGCATCGGGAGGGGTACTGTACTACTATTGTACTACTACTGTACTATTATTCGCTAATTAAGACACGCACTGCCAATTGCTGATGGTATTCAAGTTGTGGCATTGTTACCATTGCGGCATAGGGAGCAGACATTTACAATGTAAGAAATTTATCGCCCTCCTGTCTATTTTCCAAATTACACTACAATGTATGCATATTTCGAATTTTCACAACAGTTCCTGGGCATTTCATTAGATCACTCACATTATGTCGAACCTGATACTCGCAGTGTACACACATTAGTGATATTCGTTGTGGATGGAGCTACGTACTCCTGGTGATTTTTATTTTTATTTTCAGTGATGTTATGATATCTATTTTCTTCCATTGTATTTATTGCGTATTTTGGTATTTCAAGGTGTTGTGTAGTGGGATGATTTCAAAGGGCTATGTATCCCATCGATCTGTGTATCTGTGTATCGATGTTGTATTATAGTGGTCATATGGATTTTTGTTCAAACTGTATTTTTGTATATGAGTGTATTAGTGTTCAGTGAAAGAGATATTGTATTAGTATAGTAAGGGTACAAGCAATTTTGGGTAATGTTGGATTGTCTAATCGCCAGGATGAGAGACGTACAGGTGCGCGTGCGTATGCGTGTGTGTATGTAGGATGTAAGTGTGCATGGGTGTGTACGCAGGGTGGATTACGATTAGGGTTTATTTTAGATTAGCGAGGACGCTAAAGTCGATGGCTTATAGAAGCCATCGTCTTGGAGGAAAGGAAGGTAATGTAAAGTATGGTTTGCAGATGTTACAAATAGTAGTTGAGTGATTGGAAATGTAGCGACTGTGGTTGCATAATGGGTTGGTCGGTGGCAGCGCATTTGATGTAGTATGGATGATGGAGATGAGAAACGGTGGAGAGAGAATTGTTGTACATGTGGGCAGCGGGTGTGGTTGTCCGGGCGTGCGCGACTTTCTTTGTTAGCTAGAAATGTATAAAAGGAAAAGGTTCTTGGTTGTGAGAAAGGTCGGACGTGAGTGTGCGAGGCACGTGGCTGCGTGCCTCTGTGCGCGCGCGTGTGGGTTGAGAAACAATAATACTATTTGCTGAACACAACTGCTTGGACTTTGGAGTTTTCATTATTCATCGCTACAACTAATCTACATTGAATCGGGTAACGTCGTCATCGTCGTTACAATCCCGATTATCGTAAGAACCACCCCTCCCCTGTTTTCCGATCTCTCCCTTTCTCTCACTTTCCCGCGCTATCTTTCTCGTTTTCCTTTACCTATCTCACCCTTTTTCCCGCTCTCCCCTTCTCTTTATCTCCCTCCCTCCTCTCTCTCTCGCTCTCACTCCTTGCGATGCAATCAGACAATATCAGATGACAGGTAGACGGAGGCAGCGCACGCGACCGGCCGAGCGAGCGAGCGACGGGGCGCCGTCACGAAGTAGCGAAGTAGCCGTAGGTGCTGCCGCCGCGCTGTTTTATTGGTAGACATTTGCTGTCTTTCGTGTGCGGAGTAACAACAGACGGTAGCGACGTGCGGGTTTATAACGCGTGCGCTATTATCAATATTTGCACTTACGTACGAGATTGCAGCGCAGCCGGGCTGGCACCTGAATGCTGCTGCTGCTGCTGCTGCTGCTGCTGCTGCTGCTGCTGCTGCTACTGCTACTGCTACTGCTGCTGTTGCTGCTGCTGCTGCTACTGCTGCTGCTGCTGCTATTGCTGCTGATACTACTACTACTACTGCTGCTGCTGCTGCTGCTGCTGCTGCTGCTGCTACTGCTGTTTCTGCTGCTGCGGGGGACGGGCCGATGGGTGGTGCACTCACACACCACACGCACACTGCCGCTACTGATGTAAAAACACGCGAACCTGGCGGCCGTTCTCTCCGCTTTCATTTTGACTGATTTGAAGGTGAAAGGATTAGGAAACGGTAAATTGGATTCCGCGCTTAGATTGGATGCGAGAGAGGGGGAGAGGGTGAGAGAAGGGGAGGGTGAGAGAGAAAGAGAGAGAGCGAGAGAGAGCGAGAGCGAGAGAGAGAGAGAAAAAAAGCAAAAAGAAAGAAAGAGAGAAAGAGAGAGGGAGAGAGAGAGAAGAATGTGGGCATGGGTGTTAGAGAGTGGATGTCACGGGAACAGGTTTCCTTCGCCGACAGACACACACAACGAGCGTTCGCGACTCGTCCGACGTCGGCTGTGGCAGCTGCTAATGTCGGCTGCTCCTGCCTCCGCATCGTAACACGTCGGTGTCGGCGCGCGGTGCTATTGACTCATCGCCTCGACTTCACACTCTATGAATATCGCCGTCTGTCTGCCGCTGGGGAAGGGATCACGTTGGCCAAAGGCCAGACCAAGCGATTAACCTCCCCTGCTCGGATGGAGTTTGGGGGGAATTCAGTAAGGGGGGAGTAGCGTTCCTCAGCTTCCGTTGCACTTCCCTGGCAGGAGGATCGGGATGGAGATGCGGTCGATAGCGCTGCGCAGCTTCCGCGGGCCCTCGCCGGAGGTTGGCTTGGCTTCCCGCAGGTAAATTAGCTCATTTTATGCTCGAAATTACGTGCTGGCTGCGCTCACGATTTTTCAACAGTGATCGAGCGACCTATAAATAGCTTAGAAATAATAAAGAAATAAAGTGAAACACTTGGCGCTCGTGTTGTGGCCATGTAGTGGGAGAGGGGTAGAGTGGGGCGATGTATGTCTGTCTGGTGGTGGCGTGAGTGGTGGAGGCAACCCATCCACAGGCTCGGGGGATGCTGTGTCAAGGTTAGCCGCTCTTATTCTACCGGGAGTCTGTTTATATTGTGCCAGATAAACTAGAACGCTGATAGTAGTTCATAAGATATTTCGAGTATTAGTAAAATGTTTGTTGCAGAACTCCATCTCAGTGTATCTGTGGATGATATAGTACTGACAGGCACTAGGAAGAATTGAGTTTGCCGATTTGATAGCTACGCCATAGGACTGTCACTTAATAGTGATATATTTTATGTTTTAGTAACATAAATTGATGTATGCTGGTATCTCATGGTATCTGCATATGATAGCGTGATAAAGTTAAGTTTTACAAGAGTTAGGCTTAGTCTAGTTACCTATGTGGTAACTGGACTATCGCACAATTACTTAGTAGTGGTAGATTTAGAGGTTTCATAACATAAATTGATGAGTGATATTATAAGGAAGGCTATTTCTACCCGTGATCGTAATAGTGGTTACGCGTGAGTGTGTGTATTACACCCTTGCTAGCGTCTATTTAAAAGCAGGTAGTAAAGAACATAACGAACTATGATGTACGTATCCAGTTATCTTTTTAATTGCACAGCCTTAACTATGCATCCGCCCATAACGGGGCGAATGCGTACAGTCGAGGTGCGCGAGTAACATCACCAACTTACGAGGTTATTAATGTATCGTAGTGGCTCGAACCAATGTCGTCTATTAAAAGTATTATGTACTGTCTCTGCTACACTCTCTCTCCGATCTCTCTCTCTAGCCGAACACGCGGCGGCGGTTATATACCCACATAGGTAGACACGCCTACCTATTGTTTGTAGTCAGTCCGTACTACGTTACCGTCTGTAATTGGCTAATTCTACCTCTGTCTAGTCCAGCGTTATACTTTACACAGCTGGCCTGTAAAGTATGCCAACCTGGAACAATAGCTTATTCCTGTATATTTATTTCTCTGTGTTTCGACGGTATTACAATATCGCATTGCATTTGCAGATGAGGGAGTGATAAAGGCTGAACATAAGGTTACTGATGTAGTAGCTGTACGATAGCTCTATAACGCAGTAGTGGTCGATTTACTGTCATTGTTACAGAAAGTAATGAATGGTTATCTCAAGGCATCTGTAGATGAGAGAGTGGCAGAGGCTAGCAGGAATTTGGGTTGCCAACTTGTCTATCACACTAGAGCTAATATAAAATATGGTAAAATTTGATCGCCGGATTAGGATTAGGGTTGGGATTAAGGTGACTGACAGTCGGCCTTCTCTTGTTTGTTTAATAATGCGATCAATGATGCGATCCATGTCAGAGTAAAGACATAAACCGTAAAGCTATGGCGTCATACATGGATAACAGTGTATATATTACACACGCACATGTCATCCCACCATTACACATGTACCCCCCCCCCCCGGGCAATCCACTGCACCCCACTCCCACTAGTAAGCTAGCTGGACGCCCAGGCGTCTCCGAAGGTGACGTAACCACCTCACTCACGCCACATCGCACCCTCTCACTTTCTATCGTAGATTTCCTCCACTCGCTATGGCCAGACATAGTATAATACGTGAGCGGGTTGTACTAGAAAAGATGCTAGAGAATATAAAGAGATCGTGCTAGAAAAGATAAAGAAGGCAGAGAAGGTACCAAGAGGCGATAAGTGAGTGGAATGTCTAAGAGAAGGTAGAGAGGCTAGAATTAGTGAGTAAAATATATATGACAAGTTAGAGAAGGTACAATTAGTGAGTAAAATGTATAAAGCCTAGCGCAGACTTGCGACTTTTGGTCGCGCATCGCTGCGACCTGCAATCGCATGCGATCGGTCGCACGCCTCGCCGAGTGTGCGCATGCAAGCGACTAGCTACCATTTGGCGAAAAATGACGCTGGCGCCATGGGCAGTGTTTACCCGTCATTTCCAGTTGGATCGCGACATCTTTATATGCCACATGTTTCTTAGTGCGATCGCTGTATTCCGGCAGTGTAACATCAAACAAAACCGGCCTCTCCATCCACATATCTAGCAAAATGCTTTCTTTCTCATCACTCCAGCTTGCTGTGATCGTAGCCATATTGAAATAACACGTGACGTGATGAGATGGTGCTCGCTGATTGGTTGGACGAGAAGTTGTCATCGTTGCAAGTCGCTGTCTACCCGCACACATGCGATTTCGAAGCGATTTCGGAGCGAGGAGTTGCTGAAAATCAAACATGTTTGATTTCTTGCGACTCGTTGCAAGCGACCAGAATCGCAGTTGCACGTTCCCGCAGACCTAGCGATTTCTCATGTGACTCAGCCGAGTCGAATGAAAAAGTCGTAAGTCTGCGCTAGGCTTAAAGCTGCGTAAGGCTGCGCTGCGCTAGGCTTAGACTGAAAGAACATTTAGTGAGTCGGAGTGAAATTATTTTCTCTCTCTCTCTCGTTGCAGTTCGGCAGTTTTCGCACGAGTACGGAGGAGTACTTCATAGAGCCGATGCCGTCGTCTGATGGCGACGACGACGACGTTGGCAATGGCGACCTTGACATGGTTGCCAGGAAGCGCCACGTCATCGTCAAGGGTTCAGCGATCACCGGCCGCCTCCACGGCAAGCACTGCGGCCTGCAAGGTAGGTCGACGAGCTCGAAGGTCGCCGCTGAAGGTCATTCCTGTTGTTGTGACGAGTATGTGTGCGTGCGTGCGTGCGTGCGTGCGTGTGTGTTTGTGTGCGTGTGTGTGTGTGCGTGCGTGCGTGCGTGCGCATGCGTGCGTGCGTGTGTGTGTGCGTGCGTGTGCGCCTGTGCGTGCGTGTGCACGTGTGCGGGTGTGTGCGTGCCAGCGCAAGTACGTATAAGGACTGGTCATCAGAGGATTTCTACAGTATTTGTTGCAGCGTGAGAATGCCTAGTGACCTCTAGTAGTGAGTGACCACTAACTGGTCAGCTGTGGGTACCTAACCTCACTGCCGCACTAGTGAGTGACCACTACTGGTCAGCTGTGGGTAACTAACCTCACTGCTGCACTAGTGAGTGACCACTACTGGTCAGCTGTGGGGACCTAACCTCACTGCCGCAAGAACGTGACAGTGAGTGCAGGCGGCCGGTTT